AGAAGGAAGACTGGTGTGCAGTGAAAATCCCATCAAGTACTGATTACACTGCACAGTCTCTGCCTTCGCTGGGAGGAGATGAGCTTGAGAGCTTTTTAATGCAAACGCCCAGCAAGGTTTGACGTTCAAGATGTTTCATAGCATCCTTCCCTTTTTAAGTGACTTGTACCCATGCCCAGTAAAAGAAGTAAAGGTCAAATCCTGCTGGAAGTTTACATTAAAAAAATTCTGGAGATTAACAGCAGTAGCCTTGTGTATCAGTCAATTTGGAGGAAAGGTTAAAACTAATAGAAATCTACTTTGCTATAGCAGAAGGGGAAAGAGTATTGTGCAGTTCCTGAGGTCCCTCACAAACCAAGGTCTAGGAAAGCGATGGACATTAGGAAGGCCTAGGATCTGGAACCAAAGGCGAGCCAGGCCCCACGGCTGCCATCCCCAGTCTCTCCCAGATGCCTCAGCCGTACTTCTCCGTATCTCCCTTTGAGATCAGATCTGACTGCTGCTCTTTCTTTACATAAGGACTGGATTTTCCTATTGCTCTTTGTTTAACAACCATGCTTAGAACACCAATTTTTTAATATTAAGCATCAGAAAAAGTGCTCCATATCGCAATATTTTTTCTTTTCCTAGCTCCAGTTGGCCAAACTGTTAAAAGACTTAATAACAGCAGCCTCCTAATAAGAACTGCAGTTTTTTGCACCAGGTGGTGCCCACCTCTGCCTACAGAATTCCAGCCCAAACAATCTGCCCGGAATGCTGAGAAATCAGTAGAATGTGCTCGTGACTCAGCCTGTTAAGTAGGCGGACTATTATTGTTATTTTAACTCCTGCCAGAGTATGCAGGCAATTCTTCCCCTTTCTGTCTCTAGTTAACTATGAGAGATCCCTCTTTAAAACCACACCCTTGGAATAGGTTCTTGCTCAGTAAGAACAGAGTAGTATAGGGTTTAGGTATGCCTGCCAGTTGACAGTACAGAGTAGACAGTCTTTCATAAAGGGTGCAGCTGATATCCTAATGTACCAACAGAATTTATTTTTAGAATGCTTAATCTGCTTTTAGAATTATTCCCATAGAGTGCCATGGACTGGAGCTGAGTACTGATGAGGTAGTAATCAGGGCATGTCAAGGTACTCATTTTCAGAGAGCACAGTGAAAATACCAGGTTTTCTGTCTCTTTTCCTTAACTCTTGGGGTATTGTGATTCGACTGTGGTTCTTACCAAATGTTCTCAACAATATAAACCCTCATCACGTGCTGCTTCTTGGGGTAGTGTAAGCATCAAACAAAAATCAGCCTATTTTACAGACAATTGTCTTAAAGGATAAATGTCACCCATCTATGAATAATGAAAAGGTATAAATTCTGAAGGTAAAGTAAGAGCTAAACCATTCTGGATGGTGGTGAATTCTATTGTTCTTAGTTAGTCAAAAGACTCAAGAAATAATAAATACCTTATGCTGTCCTAATGGTTTTCTCATATCCTCCAGCTAAGTGGTCCCTAATTTATTTACATGGGTATTTTGGGGGTGTTATAAATTAAGATTCAAGATTACATATCAGAAAAATAAAGTTTTCTCAGAATGCTATAAAATCCTGAGTTTTTGCAAATATGCAAGGGACTTAGTGTTGTAGAAATGATGAACTGAGCCCTGTAAAGATGACCTGAAGGAATCCTTAAAAGCACAACAATTATCACTGGGGGCTGGACACTGTCTGTATGGTGTGTCCACCGGCGTTGTTCCATGGTAACCCTTGCATGCCTAGTCATCCTCCAGGAAGTAAGGGTCCACCAAGAGGTGGTGGTTCTAGGTGCTGACCCATAGCAGAAGGTCATACAGTCTCTGCCTTCAATGGGAGGAGATGATGTTGAAATGATGTCAGAGTAGGAGAAGAGGCCAGCTGATACAGCACCTTGTTGGCCACAGTTAAGAGTGTGGGTTTTATTCTATCACAGGCAGCCACTGGTGGATTTTGAATAGGAGAGTTATAGCAATCCAACTTTAAAACAGATTGTTCTGACTTTTATGTTAACAATAGAGAGCGAGATTAAGTGAGCAGGGGGTGGGGGGTCTGCTACAATAGTAAAAGTGAAAAGAGAGTGGATTTGAATGATAAGGGTAGAGAACGAGGTGTGTAAAGATTCTAGTCAGGCGCCAGCTGCTTGGAACAGTAATAATCTACTATGAGGCTTAAGAAATTAAATAATGCCTGTCATAGGTGGTCGAGGCTGGAAACAAAACAATTTTCAGAGTAGTTACTGCTGCACTGTGATATATAAAGAGGGCTTTTGTGCAAAAATGATGCTGATTCTATGTGACTCAAACATCAGAGACATATGTCAACCTTTACTAGAATTACATGTGTTAGGTTGGAAGTATTTGATTCTGAATTTATAGAATACAGGAATTCGTGCTATTAACAAATGATTAAAAAGAACTTTGTCATTGACAAAGCATTTTCACTTTCATTACCCCATTAAGTTTAAGCAAATCATTGTGATTAGATGATTTCAAATGTAATCATCTGGTAAACAATGTTAAAATAAAATAGCAAAACAGAACTATCTAATTACATGGCCACATTTGTGGTATCACTAAATGAATATTTACAGTTCCCAGCAGACCGTTTTCTCATTTTAGGTAGAAACTGTGTCTTTGTAGTCTAAACATCGGCCCCCAATTGACATACAGGGATGCTGATAAATATTGGAGGAGTGGATGAAACCTTTATTTTTATGTCAAATAGTTTAAGTTTTCCCAATTCATTTTCTGGTAGGTGAAATAGCTTCAGAGTCTGACAGACATGAGTTTGAGTTTAGACTCTGTAATCACTGTATCATCTTGAAAAATAACCTTACATATATATGTGAACCTTATTCTCTTTATATGCAAAATGATAACACATTTCTGACCTAGGAAACTTATATAAAATCTCATATTTGCTCATATTTTCCCAGAAAGGTTATTTTCTTCTTCTTTTTCCTCCCTCAACTCTGATAGAGTGATACTTTACTCCTCCCAGAAAATAAGTTATGAAAAATTCTATGTCTGCTTTTGTTACTACTCTAATTGATATTTCTGTGACCTTAAAAAATTCCAGAATTAACTGTAGTGTTAGGAAAAAAAATCTCCTGTTCTCTTTTAGCTTTTTCCGTGATATTCTGGGAGAGTATGAACAACGAAGATGGACCAAACAAAAGTATTTTTATGTTTATTAAATTTCAAAGGTAGCAATTTATACCATATTTGGGAATAGTAGTTCATCCATGGGGAGATAAAACAGATTTTAATTATTATGTTATGGAAAAAAAGAGTGAATCTCATCAACCCCAATTAGATTAGCAAGATCTTTACAAACCAATCTAAAAAATGCTTTGGAAAAAATAAAACATAAGTAGGATTTGCATGATATCATATATTAAAAACTTTGGATTCCTTCCACATAAATTCAAAATAGGCTTTTTGCAAGCTATGTTTAAACTATTTTAACATTAAGTCTTTAAAATGCTGGAAGCTTTTAGAAATAATAATTAAGAATACTAAGCACAATAGTAAAATGTTAAAATGAGCCAATTTTATAACATTATGTCAACCAGATTCAAATGGGTTGATAGGGATGAATGTCAACATGTAATGTGGGGTGAAGGCGAGTTGCAAAAGAAAACTATAGCAGGGTCCGACTTTTACAATGTGAATCATTGTATGCCTTTGCTTCCTACATGTCATAGAAGTGTTAGAACACACGTAGGGAGGGCGTACCGTTCTCAGCCCTGCAACTTCTCATCACAAGCAAGGAGGAGAAGGAAAAGGAAGTAGGAAGAGCTTTCCCATTTTCTGGGATGATTTATTTCTTTAGAAAAAGATTTTAATATAGCTGAATATCAGCAATTGTTCAGTCTGTACGGTGGATAGTTTAATTAATTAGTATAATTAAAAAAATTTTTTTTATTGTTTCACAATAATCAAGGGTAGAAAGGATTCGGTTACCATGTTTGCATTTGTTAGGTAAAGTCCCTCTTATAATGTGTCCTGCCTCCCAAAGGTGTGCCACACCCATAAAGCTTCTTGCTTACAAATAAATAATAATAAAAGCAGTAAAATGAATGTCACTGTTGCCAATTTAAATTCGTCTTTTTAACACTTCTAGTAAAAACAAAGTAAGTTCAAAAGCATTTCCTGGAATAAGAAATCATTCACTTGTAATCATTGTATAGTTTTCCGCTTCTATCCTAGACAGGTCGAGTTTAAAGAAAGACTAAAACAAAGGAAAATATTGTTTCTGCTTATAAGCTTAGCTAAGTGTGTGTGGTTTTATTTATGCATGCAGCAATTGTTTAAATAACAATTATAAATGTGAAAGTTTGCCTGCTATGCATTTACTAATCTTTCAGTGATTGCACTATATGTTTTTTTCTTCCATAAATTAAGATAGAATTTACACAAAATGTAGGAGAATCTGATTGCTACACTTTTTGACCACAACATGAAACCACACTCCTAATCACACCTGGGGCTGGTGATATTTCCACTGCCTGCTGCTTCCAGAACCATGTACAGAACCTCAGGGAATCCTCCATCTACTCGATTCCTATCTCTCTCTCTTTGCGTCATACCCCTAATCTGTTAAAATGGAGATGATCCCCATATTTACCTCATAGAATTGTTATAAGGAATAAATAGTTAATCTATGCAAAATTAAGTCACATAGGTCCATGCCTCCCACATAACAGGTGCTGAGCAAATATTGGTATTAACCCTGCAGGAGAAACAGTCTTAGTTCAATCCTTTTAGAGAAAGATCTTTTCATGCTTTTACTATTAAATCAGTACAAACACTATGAAGTTGTAATTTAATAATTTCTAAATCTAGCAGCTGTTGAATTTATATTTCTTCCTTAAAAATGAATGATATTTATTTAAAGATTAGAAAACATCATTAGCAAAGAGTTATTTTTCACAATTATTGGTAACTCTTCTATGGTAGAGAGGATAGGATCTTACCTATTTAAGCAAGTGGTAAGATAAGTAAAGTTCGTTATGTTGTGTTCTCAAAGGCTTGATAATATGTTCTAGCTTCTTTCTGTTAAAAAAAATTTGGAAAATTAGTAATTTAATTCCTGATCCATGTACATTAATCACATCACATCGCTGAGCACAAAATTTGACTTGTGACTTTTTCTTTCTGTATTGGGCAGCAATAAGATGACAAGACTTGATTTCATGATGGTTCTTTCTGATATTACACACTGAGCATTTATAACCTGCGAGGCACAATCACGAAGGGAGAAGGCAGCAAAAATGCTAATTATTGCAATTTTTTTTTCATTTTTTAGATTCATTCTAGTGAAGCTTTATAAGTATTATATCCAAGGAGGAATAAATTTTTAAATTGTTTTCAGCTACTAAATAGAGACAATTTTACTCTCTCCTAAGAGAATTAATTTGTCCTGGTAAATTGTTAATTATATCCAGTACTCTTTAAAGGACTGGGCCTCTAGCCCAGTCTGCATCGATTCTCTCGAACACAGAATGGAGAGAAATTTTTTAACAGCTAATTAAACTTCTCTATAAAACACTAAACTTATTTTGACATTCAGGAAGCTAAAAGTCATTCTGCATTAGTAGTTCTGCTTAGAAATACTACTTGGAATAATACAGAATACTTTCTCCTGAAGGGGTACCTAGAAATAAGCAGAATTACTAGAAGGCTACTAGGCTTGTTTTTTACCTTGTAAACCATTCAGATGTAATGATGCTTGTCTATGGGGAAGGCTACAATGGATGCATAATTTGTAATGCATTGTGGAGCTGAGGCCCATTTTGAACAGCCCACCTCGTTTATGTTAGCTGTCTAAGTCTATGGACCCCTGTGCTTTCCCCAGGGATTTCACTCCTGGTAGAGTGGAGCCATCATATCCTCAAGAAAGATGCTGATCTACCGTTAAGGGACCATGAAACACAAACAAGGATAGCTATTTCCTTCTTTAAGACCCAATGGGACATGCAAGCTTGAAAATCAAGATGCAGACGGTTTAGTTGTCTAGGAACCTTAAAAGAGCAAGGTCCCTATTGGAAATGAGCAGAAGAGTGCTTTCTTTTTTTGGCTGGGGTTGGGTTTGAACCCGCCACCTCTGGCGTATGGGGCCAGTGCCCTACCCTTTTGAGCTACAGGCGCCGCCCCAGAAGAGTTTGATTCAAGAGTAACAAATACCGACTGGGCCGGGTGTTGTTTTCTGTTCTTTCCCATGGATTAGCTTATTTAATCTGTGAGAGATTACACATAACACACAGTAGCAAACAAGTCCATGGGTAAATGTTAAAGTTGGAAAGACTTAATATTGAAATACGCATAAAGAAAATTCAGCATGCAAGAAGAAACAGAGTAGAATTCTCCATTCCCTGCAATAGTTTAATGACTATTTTAGAAAGAATGATTTAACTGTCCAAATCTCTACACACAGATTTTTTTGTTTGTTTTTCTTTAAGTCCAGCTCCATGGTTCTCAAATTTGGGATATATATATCTATATATAAATTACAATACAGAATTATATACACAATAACTTAAGACTGAAGAATTTTTAAGAATAATGTTGATTATAAGCAAATTAAACCTTGTAGGCTGATTTCAGAACAAAAATAAAATGGTAGGCCAGCTCTGGATTTTGTTCAGATAGAATCTTTTTTAATGAATGAATACTGAATAAAATACCAAGCTTTACTTTATATTTAAACTCCATATGTTTTTTAAATTCCTTAAAGTACATATTTTTTGTATATTATCTTCATGATTTTCTTTTCTAGTTTTTGGAGAAACAGTCTCACTCTGTCACCCTGGGTAGAGTGCTGTGGCTTCCATCATATCTCACAACAACCTCAAACTTGTGGGCTCAAGTGATCCTCTTGCCTCAGCTTCCTGAGTAGCTGGGACAACTACAGGTGTCCACCATCGTACTTGGCTACTATTTTCTACTTTTAGTAGAGATGGGATCTTGTTCTTGCTCAGGCTGGTCTTAGACTCCTAAGCTCAAGTAATCCACCCACATCAGCCTCCCAGAGTGCTAGGATTATAGGCATGAGCCACTGTGCTCGGCCCATCTTCATAATTTTCAAGCATGTATATGTGTAAGTATTCAAGTACATGTTACATGCACATACATTTATGTGTTTATTTTCATAGTAGAAATAAGAAAAAAAGGAGTTTTATTGAATAGAAATTTTATAGTAAAGGTAATTTAATAAAATACAGAATTATGGCCTATGGGGCAGATCTATCCTGCTGCTGCCTGTATTCCTGGCACCTGGGGACACCCATTCACTTCCTTTTTGTCTACAGCTGCTTTCCCGCTATAGTGCAAGAGTTACAGCTGTGACAGAAAGTATGAGGCCAGCCAAGCTCAAAATGTTTACTACCTGGCCCTTCATAGAAAGTATTTGTTAACATATCTGATATCAAAGAACATTCTCATCATTTGAGTAATATTAAAAAAAACTAAAAATATTCCGTCTTTTAGACTTTCTGAATATTAACTCAGTTGTTACATATGAAGGCACGTGAAATTCCAGCCCTAAGCATTTAAAAGCTAATTTCATCCCAAAGAATTGGAAAATTACTGGCTAATGGATGGGATTATCATTAGAAAATTCAGGGTTCCCAGTACCTATTAGTCATAAAAAGAATGCCCCTTAAAAAATAGAAATGACTCTTTTTCCTCATCTTTATTTTTTGAGAAAGAGATAAATTTCATTGAGGAATTATTTTTTAAAAGCAAATCACGACCCACTTAGGCACATAAAATTGAACAGTCATTTTAAATTATCACAGTATACTTAGAAGTGATCATTTTATTCTATATCAAAAGGATCAAATGAGGGTGGTGCCTATGGCTCAGTGGCTAGGGCGCTGGCCCCATATACCAAACCTGGTCCCAGCCAAAAACCTGGCCACAGCCAAACTGCAACAAAAAAATAGCCAGGTGTTCTGGCAGGCACCTGTAGTCCCAGCTACTCCGGAGGTTGAGGCAAGAGAATCACCTAAGTCCAGAAGTTGGAGGTTGCTGTGAGCTGTGATGCCACAGCACTCCATCAAGGGCGATAAAGTGAGAGTCTGTCTCCAAAAAAGAAAAAGGAAATTACTTTAACATAGTTTTTGATGGAAAATTATTGACACAGTTTGTATTTGATACATTGTATAATATGCCTGTAACAACCTAAAATACATGGTGATATTAGCAAACATGCATACAGCATTTATGGTGTAGCAATGTTCCTAACACTTCATACATATCAAGTCATTTATTCTACACTGTTACCTTTTAATTATTATCCCCACTTTAAGGATGAGAAACTAGGCCCGGAGAATTTAAATGTCCCTCCCAGGATCACATGACTAGAAAGTGACCAGATCTTTGAACTACATACCAACTTTAAAAACGCTGATAATTGGTCTTAAAGTTGCAACTCTGTTTAAGGCAATTTCAAGCACAAGGGCTTGTGACTTCTCTAAGAAGTGGTATTTCACCAATGGCAACTTTCAATTTACTAGAAGCACTTACTAAGCACATTTATTATTCAGCACATTCAGCTTCTTGAACAAATTGAAATCTACTCAGCTGCAGTTCTGCCTCCCATTTTCTCCAGTCCATTATTCCTATCAGGTTGGCTTTATGCCACTTTCCAGAACCTTTTAGAGCTGGGCATGACCATTATTGAGAATCATGGCAAATAACACCTGACAAAGGCAACTGACTGACACCTGTGTTCAGAGCCAGCCTACACGAGACAGAGAGTAGGATGCATGTATGTTGCCCAGGGACATGGCCACGTGAATTGAACAAATCATTCCATGAAGAACTCAAGACAAAGACTTGTTTAGCTATAAACTAAATCATTTTTCATCAGCTGATTACTCAGTTAAATAGAATGTGCATGCAGTGTGCTGAGGCTGCATTTAATACAGGTTTGGGGTTGGCATATGTATGTGCAAGTAATATACCATCTACACACATATACCAGGATGTCCATAAAGTTCGTGTGCAATTTAAAAGAGTGGCTATACATGTATGCATATAGCATTGGAATTAAAGTCAGATTCATGCAGACCTTCAAAATCTCATACAGAAAATATTGCTGAGGTGTGGTTTCCCGAGTTGGTGTAAGAACCCATATTTCATTAAACAACAAAGTCATCAAGATGAAATCACCTGTGTATTGCTGAGCAGGATATTTGTCTTTGAAATACATTATAGCATAGGAAACAGCATTTGGTTATTTGATTTCATGTCCTGAAAGACTTTGTCAGATAAGTAAAACACTGAAATGTTTGAAATTGCTGGAATCCTGAATAGTGTTTCTGAAGGCTTAATCTCAATGGCTAGCATTAGGCTAGGCAGCCAGATCTCAAAAAAAAAAAAAATGTTCTATGAGATTTTGAACAGTTCGTATAATTCAATGCATTTGTTCAGGATAACAAGATTGCAGCTATTGAGGACTAAATTCCCAATACAGTTGGGAAAATATCCATCACTCAAGCAGTCTCTAAATAGGAGAGCAGCTGCCAACATGAAATCATTTAGTCTAACATCCTAGTAAACCATTTCTATTCTATGCTTAGCATCAGTTCATTATTTATTTATTTGTGAATAGAAGAAAGTCATGGTGAGTCAAAGTCATTCATAATTGAGTAGATCAGACAATGGTCTTTCTTGTTGGGGTTTTTATCAAACTTCCTTTTAAAAGAACATTATGTTTCTTACAAAGGAACCATTTTAAAATATGCACCTAAAAAAATTAAGAACTGTTATCAAAATTCAAAAAAACCCATCTTTAACAGTGGAAAATCGAGGTAAGATACACAGTAAGAATTCTCCCCTTTCATCTGTACACTCCAGGGTATTGGTGAGAACTAGCAGGCTGGGTTAAGCTGACTTAGTAAACATGATATAGTCTTACCCAAAGCGTCTCAACATAATTAAAGAGAGTAAAAATAGTATACAAATAGGTGAAGGATAGAGCATTAGATTAGTCAGGAAAGTCAGGCTTAAGCTTCAGAGGCTTTAAACAATTGAAGGTTTATAATCTC